GGACGTAAGAATAAGAAAACAGAATTCATGTTTGTACTCACCTATCTGTCACAAGCTTAAGAACCCTCAAAATATTGGCCAGAAATGTCTGGAAAGGTTTCCGTCAATCCTTGATTTTCCTTATACCCCGTCACTACAGATAAAGTCTATGGGCGCAAGTCTATTACTGTTTGGTTCACCACAGTAAAGCGTCAAATGGTTCCACCTGTTTTATCTGAAATGGCCTTCTGGTTTCTGAGATGCAGCAACGCCTGGGGAAGAGAGTAATTGCGTACGTACACCAGAATAAGGCCACACCGACTTAATTTTATGGATGACATCCTCTGAAGACCCCCAAACTAGTGCGCGCGGGCGAAAAAAAAAAGAAAAAATCCGGCCAAAAATAAAAATGATACCAAACCACAGTAATACAAAGCCGGTATTGTGAATTTGGCGCATTACATAGCGACGTACATGTATACGACAGGCCGGCACATGCTGGCTTTTTGCGGAATTTATGAATCGGCACTGTACGTATGTACTGAGTTCTTGAGTCGTGGAGCTTCGGTAGACTGTGTGCTGTCCTCCAGAGTTACCACCGGCTTCATTATCGCTTACCACCATGGACTACCCAAGCCTAGAGCCAGGCCAGAAGACGTGATCTTTTTTTTTTTTTGAGATCAGGTGAAAATCAATGCGCGCGCGGATGTCATCCATAAAATTAAATCGGTGTGGCCTAACTGGTTTTTAGTAGCCTTAGGCTACTTTTGTAGAACTGTCTTAGGCTACTGAAAACCAGTTCTTCTGGTGTACGTAGCCCTTCGTCACCACTGTGTCTAGCAATGTAGGGCAGGTATCACAGTTATGGTTGGCCATAGAAACCTATGCTTAATTACACTAAAATAAGTCCCCATGAAAGTAATTTATCACATTTCAATCTCAAACATTCTTCTGCACCAGAGAGCCACAAGAGTCTGTTTCCCAAATATAGAAAGAAAACCAGGGGGTTGTCCAGCTCAAACTCAATCTGACAACAGCTCACAACAGTAAACAAACCCTAATTTTGACCTAATTGCCTTAGATAAGAAGGCTATGAAATCACTTTGCTATAGTGTGGAAAACTATGCGGCATAACTATTGAAGGCATTGTTACCTCCATGAAAAATGGAGGTATTGTTTTTTGTGCGTCCGTGTGTCTGTGTGTGTGTGCCCGTGTGTCTGTCTGTGTTTCCGGACATTTGCAGCCAGCATAACTTTTGAACCCTTGGATGGATTGTAATGTAGGTTTGGTCCCCGTAGCAGCTTGTTCTGGAACTGCGGAGGGGGGGGGGGTCTGACGAAACCTTTCAGAGCACATAAATTCACAAAGGAACAATACATTTTTTATAATTTTTATATATATATGGGTAGCTTAGACAGAGATCTACATTGTTGCATGCATTTTTGGATGCAATAATTATGCAAATGATTACTTCATTTGCATACTTAATGAGGAAATTCTGTGATTCCAGTGTTTTACATCATGGGGCTTGGATACATGTAATGTTTATAATCTATGGCAGGTACAACGTTACCAGATACCAATTATGCAAATACGGACATAATTTGCATAATTAATCTCAAAATTCCATTACTCCTTAATGGTAAATGACGGGAATTTCATACTTGGGACATGTGTAAGTTAATCAAAAGTTAACATCACGATGCATATATTATGTTAATATGGAGTTCATTTGCATGATTAAAATTACATCTACATGTCAATCCCATATTTCATGGAGGTACTAGTATTTAGTCTCAGAACTCTTGTTTATTCTGTTTCTAAGACGCTACTTGCAGCTAAATACATCTGTGTATGTTCATCATCGCATAAAGCATATACCTGTGAAAAATAAATAAAATCCATTCACAACGAACTGAGACACAGGCTTAAGATTAAAAAAAATCCACTGCAGTTCCAAAGAAGATGCTAGAAGTCCCAAAATCATTTGCTCCCATCCCCAACAGCTGTCCCCTGCTCAAAAATTATTCACCTGTACTTGTGTAAAATTTTGCCTCAAATTTTAACGTTATGCTGCAATATCTAAAACCGTCACTAGGAGTCCCATTATAAAACTTACCCGTCATTTTGCTGCCACTAACCGTCCACTAAATATCATTAACAACCATCCGCGTTTTCTCAAGCTTATGTGGAACCAAAAAAAAACCCAAAGTACACAACTCTCCGCAGCAACATAGGAACTTTTCCAGCTTGAACTTTGTTTCTACATTGTATAACCGCTGCACATCTACCAAATATCATTGAGATACATTCACAAATTTTCGAGTTATCCTGCATACATGCAATCGACAAATGCACAAAAATCCCGCTACAATATACGATTAAAAAAAGCTAGATCCACCATTTTTCAACTTGAACTACAGTTTTACAACAGCTACCCACATGTCAAGAATTAACGAAATTTGTCCACAAATATGTGAGTTATGACGTTGATCTTAATACGGGGACTGCTCCACCAAAATCTACCGGTCCTATCCTTTGGCAATGCTTCCTTTCAACATTCAATCATTAATAATGCAAACGACTTCCACATCAACATAATATATTCACAGTGATGCTAACCTACATATGTCACAACTATAAATTGCCATCATTTACCACTAAGGAATCAAATCATTCTCGTAAATTAGGTCCTTTCATGAAGTAAGGGCCCCTAGACAACTACTGATGCAACGTATTAACCCGTTTGCAATCCCCTTATTTATCGTGCAGGGGAAAACATCAGCTGTCAGCTATCAACGAGGTCATGTAACTGAAAATACCTGTAACAAGACTTAAAATGAAAACCCACATTGCCATGACGACGGTGGTTGTTGTTAGGGTTATTATTTGCATGGCACTGCCGCGAGTTCATGATTTTGAGGAAGCCTTGCTCCCCTCCCCTCCCCTGAGTGTATAGTGAACGAGCCCTGGGGTACATGTAGAACTGACTGGAGGGTCTGGATTATTGACCGATTGATTGATTGTTTGTTTACCCTAAACATGCAGAAGAACAGGCACATACCACACACGCGCGCGCGCGCGCGCGCGCACATGTACAGTGAGACAGACAGACAGATGAAAGAAACACTACCTCCATTTTTATGGAGGTAACACAATATCAGAAGGCCTGAGCCGGAAATAAGGTGTCCTTCCCAAATAAACCCAAGAATTTGATACTGAATCTCTTTATTTTAGCGGGGGTTCGCGGTAGGAGGGTGAAGTACTTTTTGTGCTGTTTGAAGTTCATAGTTGAAACGTTCCTTAGTGCATTAGTACACGGTCGACAATAAAACCACGTATACAGCGTATATATCTACGTATACAGCCGCAGGGCACACGTGCCCCACCCAACCACACCCAGCCGCGCCAGATATTTGCCGTATTTGTTCAGTATTTTGAACCCCGTATATGTCTCTTCCGTAAGAGACAGACATTTTTAAAAGGCCACAAATCACAAAACTGGACAACTTTACGCGTAAAAAGTAACTCATTTAACATTAGATCTAATGTTTGACAGAAGTCTAATACTTAAAATAGATACTTGATAAACAAAAACATGGGCGAAGCTGAACATTAACTTGAATAACGAGAGTTACATAACCAACGTAAGTTAGACATATTAATGGTTTCCTACCGTTTAGTTGAAGACTGAATGAGAAGAATGTGTCAACTGGACAACTGATGCAACTATATTGCCACATCTAACCGAGGACGTTCTATCTGGTCCAACAACTCCTGAGGCCTGTAGGAGTAGTGAACCAAAAGGACATCGGTTTAGGTAAGGTCCTTTAGCACAATATTACCTCAAAGTCATCTTGGCGCTACAACTGAGAAGGGTACCGTTTGTGCAAGGTTAAGTCACTTGGTATCATTT